AGTGGAGTCTTACTATATGCAGCTTCATTCCCTACAAAACGTAAGATTTCTCGCGGCTGCCCCAGTTTTTAATCTAATAATCCTTTTCTGTGGAGCAGAGTTTGCAGTCCAATGTCTTAAATAGCTGGTGCTTCACAAATACACAGTCTTTCTTCAAATGGGACTCCATGAAACCTCCTATGCAGGGGTGGGTTCTACTTACCTTTACTACCGGTTCGCAATGGGGCCGCGCACGCGCTTGCTTCGCTCGCTTATGTGCTCTTCTGCGCATGCGCAGAAGCGTTCTAATGATGTCGAGGTCAGTGGGCGGAGCCTCCCGCCAGTTTTACTACCAGTTCTATAGAACCGGTGCGAACCAGGGGCAACACAACACCGCGTCCCGGGTCTTACCGTGGAGTCTAGTTGTTTGTAAGGAGCTCTGGAGAAAGAACTTCTGAGATGTTGAGGCGTATCGGTTGTTAAATATTTTTCTAACCGGGAAGCTGCTTTCTCGGTCCAGTCAGACACTTCAAGGACTTGGCATAATTAAGTGCCGGACTATCATCTGAGCAGCCACATCAATGAGGCTTTGTTTGAAAGCTTCCTTGGCCTTTAGATCTGATTGGACCGTGAACTGGATGGAGAATCCACATTGTGAGATGACATTTGAAAGTTGGGCGGCCACCGTGCCAGGAAGCGTGTTATGCAACGGCTCTTCAAAGCACAGCTTGGGTAATCTATCTGGGTCCATAGATAGGATCTTCAGCCAGTAATTGAATAATTACTAAATTGCTTTGTGTACAAGGTATACTCAGCTCTGTCCTTAATGCTGCAGCTGGGGTAGACTAATCCACCCCCAAGATACATTTCAGAAAAGTTCTATGAAGGAGGCATTTATATATCCCTACAGTTCTGTACCATATGTGGTCATTTGGGCTCTTTTGCTTATATACCTTTATGATTGGAATTAGAGACCCCCAGTGGTGAAATGTAAAATTTGTTACTACCGGTTCTGGGGGTGTGGCTTGGTGGGGGGGGGGTGTAATGTGATTGGGTGGGTATGGCCAACTTTTTTTTTTTTTTTACTTTTAAAAGCATTTTTTCTACAACCTCTTTGGGTGAAGAGGTTGTAGAAAAAATGCTTTTAAAAGGCTCTGATGATCCCAGCTGAGCCGCGCGATCATCAGAGGATTTTTTAAAAAAATTTTAAAAGCATTTTTTTAAAAAAAAGAAAAAATGCTTTTAAAAGTATATTTAAAAAAGCCTCTTGATGATCGCACGGCTCAGCTGGACATGGGGGTGGTGATGCAGGGATTTTTGCTACCTGATTTTTGCTACCGGTTCTCCGAACCACCCGCCTCCATCACTACCGGATCGGGCGATCTGGTCTGAACTGGGAGCATTTCACCCTTGGAGACTGAGTAATTTTGGTTGGTGAGCTGCCTTACTGTGTTGGCACTGGCTATATAGCCCTTAAATAACTCCTCTTGAAATGTGGGAGCCAGCAACCTGCTGCTTAAAAACAAGTCCTAAGTATACAGTAGATAAAACTTAACTTGATGTAGCTGTTCCCTATCCAGGCTCCAGTCTTCCCAAAAACAACTACAGCATCTTAGTTTTGAACCTACTATTGTTTTGTGGGGCCCTTGGTACTCTCTGAGCTTGGTTGTTTTACTTGCAGGTATTTCATTACCCAAACTAGGTAACATCAGTTATACAAACTAGGTAACTCTCTTTACATACTGAGCTGAATAAATGTATTGGTAAAGTGGCCACCACATTTTCCAGACTTACAAAGAGAGTATGGCTTAATAAGAAGTTGACGGAACATGCAACGATCCAGGTCTATAGAGCCTGCGTCCTGAGCACACTCTTGTACTGCAGTGAGTCATGGGCCCTCTACGCACGGCAGGAGAGAAAATTGAACACCTTTCATATTCAGACCCCCAGTGGGAGGGCCTTCTCTGTGGGGGCACCTACCCTCTGGAATCAGCTGCCCCCGGAGATAAGGAGGATCCAAGACCTCGGTGCCTTCCGCCGCACCCTTAAAACTTTCTTTTTTCAGCAAGCCGGGCTGGCTTAACATATTTTTTAATATTTTTTTAATTTTTAATTGGTCTGTTATCTTAAATTGGGGCCAAATTAATATATATCCTTTTAACTGTTTTTAATGTTTATATTGTATGTTTTTATCTGGCTGTACACTGCCCTGAGTCCCTCGGGAGAAGGTGCGGTATATAAATTCGAGATAAAATAAATAAAATATGCGCTGTCTCTGACAAATTCTTGGCATCACCTGGCAGGACAAAGTTCCAAATAGTGCAGTCTTGGAACGTGCTGGAATTTCTAGCATGTATACACTATTGAAACAGTGATGTCTACGCTGGCTGGGGCATGTTGTGAGAATGGCTGAGGGTTGGATTCTGAAAGATCTCCTGTATGAGGAATTAGTGGAGGGAAAGCGCCTCAAGAGGGAGACCATAGCTGCGATATAAGGGTATCTGCAAGAGGGACCTAAAGGCCCTGAGAATGGACATTAACAACTGGGAAACCTTGACCTCCGATCGTTCAGCTTGGAGGCTAAAGACGCAGCATGGCCTTCTCCAATTCGAAGAGACACTTGTTTGGCAGGCTGAGGCAAAGAGGCAGTCGCGTAACCAGCGAAATCTGGGGGCTGGGCAGGGGACAGAATGTATCTGCCCTCAGTGTGGAAGGGATTGCCACTCTCAAATTGGCCTTTTTAGTCACACTAGGTGCTGTTTTAGGACCTCTTTCCAGAGCACGATACCAGATACCAGCACGAGATTGAAGGATGTCAATGAATGAATGAAACATCATCATCCTAGCACTGATGATGTTGCCTAGTTTTGGGTGATGAAACATCTGCAAGAAAACAGCCCAGTTCAGGGAGCATCAAGGGCTCCACAATTCAATCCTGAGCTACAAATATTCTCTTCCGTCGATACTTTTGAATTTTACTTTCAGCTTCTATTGATTCATTGATTGTATGCCTTCCAGTCTCTGTTGATTCTTAGTGACAACATAGATAGATTTTTCTCCTTGATTTAACTTCTAAGGCAGGGACCCCCAACCTTTTGGGCACCAGGGACTGATTCTGTGGACAAAGGTTTTTCCGTGGATCGGAGGGGTGGTGGTTTATATGCTACCTGCATCCCGTGGATGGGGCTTCGCTTGTTTGTGTGGCTGCTGGCATGCCATGGACCGGGGGTTAGGGACCTCTGTTTTAGGGTACTTGTTATGCCATTTAATTTTGTGTAACCTACAAATTTGACAAGACTTGAATTCCTTGACTTCTTCATCCAAGTACTGTAATTAATGAAAATTTTGAAGCATATAGGGTCCAGGTTGCACTCGGTTCCTCCTTCCAATTTGCTAAGGAATTATTGATTTGTACTCTTTGAATAGTGTATGAATGAGCTATATATATCTAACCAGACCACATCTGCACTAATCAAAATATCATGGAATACTTTGTCAGATTAAGGTATATTACGTCTACAGCATTCCTACAGTCTACTAAGAGAGTTCCAATTGCATGTTTGGGTTTAGCAGTTGCAATTGATGAATCCAATTTACACTGGAATAGTCTTCATATATAAATATAGATCTGTTTCTGAATTACTATAAATCAGGAACCCTTTCACCCTAATTGAATTGTGCACACTGTTTAGTACCTGACATTCATATATCCTCATGCAAATTATTTTAAAATCTTCTGATGTAAAGCCCCATCTACAAGTGTTCCTCGACTTAACGACCATAATTGAGCCCAGAATTACACTCAAAAGTTGTGCTGGTTGCTAAGACAGCAACCATATGACCAAGCCCAATTTTACAATCTTTTTTGCGGCAGTCATGAAGCAAACTCTGTGGTTGTTAAACAAAAAGCAGTTGTTAAGCTAATCCATTGTCTGAAATAAATACTGGTTTCTGGCAAAAAAAAACCCCGCATGAATTGCGGTCACTAGGATGCTACAAACAACAGTAAGTGTAGGCCAGTTGCCAACATCCAAAACTCAAATCACATGACTGCAAGGGGGGTAGTCATCGGAACTTTGAATCTGGGTCATAGATTCACCTGGGGAGGCATAACTTTGAATAGATGTTAAGTGACTGGTCATAAGCCAAGATGACGCTCATTCCTTCCTCTCAGGTGGTATGAATCTTCTCAGTTGATTCTTCTTCTTCCTAATCCCACTATCCTTGCCATCTAGTGGTGGGATTCTACCGGTTCAGACCGGTTTGGGCGAACCGTTAGCTCTGACTTTCAGCCATGAGCAAACCTGTTCTCTCTTTCTTTGAAGTGGGCCTGGCCACCCGCCCCTGTGTTATACTCGCCTCTATTACTGCTTCTGAAGCCCAGCTGATCTGGGCGGCAGAGTGGATTGCTGCTCCTCAGCTGTTTTCCTTGCTCTCAGCAAAATGGAACTTCAGTGTTTTTACAAACTGCGCGTGCAGTGTGTGTCTGGCGCATGCGCACTCAGCAAACCAGTTGTTAAACCGGTAGGATCCCACCCCTGTTGCCATCCATAGCTCGACAAGTCATCAAGATGAATACAGGTAGTCCTTGACTTACAACAATTCGTATAGTGACCGTTCAAAGTTACAATCATGACTGTTTTTCATATTTAAGACCATTGCAGCAGCCACATGGTCACATGATCAAAATTCAAATTCTTGGCAACTGGCTCATATTTAAGATGGATGCCATGTCCTGGGGTCACGTGATCACCTTTTGTGACCATCTGACGAGCAAAGTCAGTGGGGAAGCCAGATTCGTTTTAACAGTTGTGTGGTTGACTTAACAATTGTAGTGAATCTTTTAGCAACGGCGGCAAGAGAAGTCGTAAAATGGGGGCAAAACTCATTTAACAACTGTCTTGCTTAACAACAGAAATATTGGTGCTCCATTGTGGTCGTAAGTTGAGGATTACCTGTAATACATTCCCAGCTTCATGCATAAAGCTTTCTTTTCAAACTGGATCTGTTTCTCTTTTCAGCTTGCCCAGAAATATGATCCACAGAAGGAAGCTGAGTTACGGGTATGGATAGAAAACCTCACCGGGAGGCAGATTGGCCCTGATTTCCAGAAAGGGCTGAAAGACGGTGTCATACTTTGCGAGTAAGTAGGCCGATGAAGAGAAACTTGTACCTTGAAGCATCGTTCCTGCTCTTATTCCATAACCTCTTCCAGGATCAGGGGTGAAATGCTCCTGGTTCGGACCGGATCAGGCAATCCGGGAGCGATTGTGGCAGATGGTTTGGAGAACCGGTAGCAATGGCGGGGTGAGGCTCCGCCCACCGCCTGGGTGTCGTTACTTCCTGGCTTTAACCAGGAAGTAATGTGTTTTTTACCCTCTGCGCATGTGCAGAAGATTTTGAGCATGCGCAGAGGGTCTGCGTGTGCATGTGACATGAGTGAAGCAAGCACGCGCGGTGCGTGCACTTCCAAACTGGTAAGGTGTCAGGTTTCAATGTCGTCCCAAATAAAATAAATTGCATTTCCAAACAGATAGTCTTTGAAGAAATCTTTCATTTTATTAAGCATGACAATCTGTCCCTTCCCTTTCTCTGCGTCTCATTGGCCTTCTTCCAAATCACTCTCCCCATATCTACTACTTAAGCTCCCAGGAATGTCCCCCCTCCCATCTCATCTCCTAGGGATATTATCTTCAGGGAAAATAAGTAGGTGAGAAGTCAAGCGTCCTCTTGCCAGCTGCCCCCTCTTCTCGTTATGTCAGCACTAGAGTAAATGCAGGTTGAAGTGCTGACATAAGGAAGGTAAGTAGATTTCACCCCTGTCCAGGATGTGTTACAAGAAGTTACATTCTTTTTAGGAAGAGCCAGTGAGCTCTAGAAATGATTTATGGAGACAGGGTGAGGCCTGGAATGCTTAAAGGGTTGTGTGGCATTTGGTTATGAGATGGTGAAAGACATAATGTTTCGTATGATGCAAAAATAATTTACAGAGCCTAATGATTTTGTTTTGTTTTTGTTTCTGGTGTTGCTTCATTTCTTTTTTTTTTTTTTTCCCACTCTCATCTGCTTTCGCTTGGCTTCGTCCCATCGCTGCACCAATTTGCTTATTTATTTTTTGTACAGAAGCACATTCTGCAAATGTGCACATTTTTCTTTTACTTTTTCTTACCTGTCCTTTTTTTAAAAAAAAATAAGTAGTTGGCCTATACAATGTCACTTTTGTGCGTTTCATTTCTTCATTCTTGTTTCTAAAATTGGGGAGCGAAATGGATTTTGGAACATAAATTGCCTTCTCTAAGTATGCGGATACACTGGAAAGAATTCATTCTACGGACGTTAGCACAAACTGGGTTTTCATTCCCACTGTGATAACGGCAGGTGGGTTTAAAAACTGCATTAAATCTAACTGAAGCTGTGTGTTTTTACTCTCCAGATTAATAAACAAACTACAGCCTGGTTCAATTAAGAAAATCAACACCTCCTCTCTCAACTGGCATCAGGTAAATAAATACCTGTCCTTGCAGTGACAGGAAATTAAATTGCAATGATGGTTTTTTTTATAAAAAAAATGGGATGCAAGCCATGATTAAGCAACCATGTGCGGAGTCAGAACATGTTTTCCGTGTTTGCACATGTAATGTAATGTAATGCTAACTTAACATTAAAGAGTCCTGGGATGTAATAGACCAGTAATGGCTAACCTTTTTGCCGTCATGTGCCAAAAGCAGGGGGAGCACAGTGCACCCAAAATTCAATGCGCGTGTGACACACACACCCACTCACCCTGCTTTTGGCACATGGTGGGCCCGGTAGGCCTGTTTTTCACCCTCGTGAGGCTCCAGAGGCTTTCTTGGAGCCTGGGGAGGGCAAAAACAGCCTTCCCCAGGCTGGAGGGCCTTCGGAGGTTGGAAACAACCCGTTTCCCGACTTCCGGTCGGACCGGAAGGCCCGAAAATCAGCTGGCTGGAACGCAGATGCGCGCTGGAGCTGAGCTAGGGCAACGCTCGCGTGCCCACAGATATGGCTCCACGTGCCACCTGTGGCACCCGTGCCATAGGTTCGCCATCATGGTAATAGACCCTGCCTGATAAAGCTGGCTTCCAAGGAGATTCCAGTTTCTCAGGGTTTGAGTTGCCTATTATAGGAAGTCCTCAACTTATGACCAGAATTGGGACCAGAATTTCCATCATTAAGCAAAGCGATGGTTAAGTTAGTGGCACTAACTTAATTTTACAACCTTCCTTTCCACGACTGGTAAGCAAATCACTGCAATTGTTAAGTGAACCATGCGGTTATTAAACGAACCCAGCTTCTCCCATTGACTTTTCTTGTGGGAAGGATGTGCAAATAGTGATTTTCTCATGATCCTGGGACGCTTCAACCATCATTAAATTCAAGCTAAGTTTCCAAGTGCCCAAATTTAAATCCTGTGAACCTTGGCGACGCTGCAACGGTTGTAAGTGCGAGGACTGGTCATAAGTCATCTTTTTCAGTGCCGTTGTCATTTTGAACGGTCCCTAAACAAATGGGTGTAAAGTCAAGGACTACCTATAGTTAATTTTAAATGGAACTTCCAAGAGTAAGCGCAATCTATCACTGAATAACCAAAATCCTGGAAACCAGGAATGGGGAAGGAGCCAATTCAGCCTTCATGCTGTGCTTGAAAATTTGCAGGGAACTGGACTAGGAACAGAACTCTGAACTGGATGTATCTATAGATTGCTCAGCCAAGTTGCTTAGATTCTTGAATTTGGCCCGTCAGAGAAGGAAAGTTGTATTTTGGGAAGCAGTGTCCCTGCCAAATCTTTTAAGATTACTGTGTGTGTCTCTGTGGTTCCTTGTGCTATTTTGTAAGCAAGAGCCGAAAAAGAATGCCTGGGCGTGGGCTGAACCGGTCTGCCCAGCTGGTTTTGCTGGTCGTGGAGGGACCAGGATTAGCCGCCTGAGGATGCTTTTGAAAATCCCACTTTTGAAAACCTTGTTCAATGGTCAGGCAGCCTTCTGGGTTTTTTTTTTTAATGGGCATTTCCGTTGAGCTAGACATTTGTTTTTGACTATTTGTTTTGTTGAGTGAGATCAGCTTTAGTGGAAGGTGATACAGCGGCTTTCGCCAAACAGGTGTGCTGTTTTGTTTTGGGACTGCAGAACCGCTAAGGGAATGTTGCTGTTGGGAATGCTTTCAACAATTCTGGGGGTGCCAGGTCAGAGAAAGTTACGATAACAGCCACTGAACTCTAAACCTCGTTTTACCCAGTGGTTAATCCTTATTTGTTTCCTTTGGAGTAGTTGCCTGAAAAAAAAGGTAGGCAGGGTTCACCCTGCATATTCAGAAGTAGCAAATTGACACAGCCAAGGTTTTTAACTTGCCCTAATTTGGAAACTCTACGGCAGAGATCTTCAACTTGGCAGCTTTAAGACTTGTGGACTTCAACTCCCAGAATTCTCCAGCCAGCATAGCTGGCTGGAGCACAGCATAGCACAGCATAGCTAGCTGGAGAATTCTGGGAGTTGAAGTCCACAAGTCTTAAAGCTGCCAAGTTTGAAGACCTCTGCTCTATGGTGTAATTCAAACCATTACCCCTGGCGGCTGACATGTTGCACACCTTACATTATGCTGGGCTGAAGAGACGACCCCATCAGGATCCATACATCCGGATTCTGCTTGCAGACAGAAGTTCTCCCTGTCATCTGGACCATTTCCCATATTTTTAGAGGATTCTTTCCTTCTTTGTTACAGCTACTAAGAGTTGCCTGAGCAATTCTCCATATATAGCATTAGCACTTAAACTTATATACCGCTTCACAATGCTTTACAGCCCCCTCTAAGCAGTTCGCAGAGTCAGCATATTGCCCCCAACAAACTGGGTCCTCATTTTACCCACCTTGGAAGGATGGAAGACTGAGCCAACCTTGAGCCTGGTGAAATTTGAACTGCCAAATTGCAGGCAGCCGGCAGTCAGAGGAAGTAGACTGCAGTACTGTACTCTAACCACTGCGCCACTGTGGCTCATATAAAGAGCAACTGCATTGTGGTTTTGGGGGGAAACCGGGGGGGGGGGGTGTTACGCACATTGGTTGCACATTAGGAGCCCTAGTGGCACAGTGGTTAAAATACACTATTGCGGGCAAACTCTATCCACAGCCTGGAGCTCAATCCTGATGGGGCGTAAGGTAGACTCAGCCTTCCATCTTTCCGAGGTTGGTAAAAATGAGGCCCCAGATTGTTGGAGCCAATGTGCAAACAATGCTTACATTGTAGTGCTGTGCAGTATATAAGTCTAAATGGTGTTGCTATTGCAACTGACCACAAAGCTATGGACGAATGAATTTCAAACAACATAAGGACTAGTCCAGCAGTCTGTTTTCACAGTGAACCATCAACTATCCAAGGAAATCCATTATCTCCCAGCAAATGGCCTTCAGAGGCAGTTCTTCTATCGTCAAGGCTAACAGCCATTATCTCTTATGATTTCCTTGAATTTTTGTGGTGTAGCTAATTCCAAAGTTGAATTACATGTTATGCAAATAAGTATTTTCGTTTGTCTGTGCCAGGGGTCTGCAACCTTAAAACACTCAAAGAGTCATTTGGACCCGTTACCCACAGAAAAGAAAACACTGGGAGCCACAAAACCTGGGTGGGCGTCGCCAACTCAATGTCACTCACTTTTACCAGTCACATGACCCACCCACCCCCTAGTCACGCCTACCCAGCCGATCATTAAGGCAGAAAACCGGTTAAAAAACATCGGGAACCACAAAACCCTTTTGACATCTCTCTCTTCCCCCCCCCCCCCCCGTATCTCTCTATCTCTCTCCCCCTCTCTCTGTATCTCTCTTTCTCTGCCCCGGCCGCTTCTCCATCCCCCGTCATCGCCCTTACCTTCTCAGTCCAGGCGAGGAGTGACTGGGAAGGGAGGGCAAGGGGCGGGGCCAGCCAGTGGTGCGATCATCCGACAGGGAGCCACAGCAGAGGGCCCAAAGAGCCACATTTGGCTCCGGAGCTGCAGGTTGCTGACACCCGGTCTATGCTGTCCCGAAAGTGCTTTTTCCGAAAAGCAACTAAACTTTCTTGATTTTTTTGGAAATGTTCCGCTTCTCATCCAAAAAACCTGTCCCCTCTCTTTTCTTCCAACAGCTGGAGAACCTCTCCAACTTCATCAAGTCCCTACTTAGTTATGGTTTGAAGCCTGTCGATCTGTTTGAGGCCAACGATCTCTACGAGAGTGGAAATATGACTCAAGTGCAGGTGTCGCTCCTTGCTCTGGCGGGCATGGTGAGTGAAAAGATCCTCTTGCCTCTGTGGAGGACAAACTGCCAGTTCTCCATCTTAACTCTGCAGGTGTACATAAAGTGGCTGGCCTGCCTGTTGAGGCTGCTGCTGTCATTATCAGTGATGGAATTTGAATACCGTGTGGGCAGAACGCCAAGTTTGTAACAGTAATTGTGTGGATGCATCAAGACAAGGGCATGTCAAGAGGAGAGGAGGCTTAATGAGCCGTGGTGGCGCAGTGGTTAGAATGCAGTACTGCAGGCTACTTCTGCTGACTGCCGGCTGTCTGCAATTTGGCAGTTCGGCTCTCACTGGGCTCAAGATTGACTCAGCCTTTCGTCCTTCCGAGGTGGGTAAAATGAGGACCCAGATTGTTGGGGGCAATATCAGTGGTGAAATACAAATTTTTTTACTACCGGTTCTGTGGGCGTGGCTTGGTGGGCATGGCAGGGGAAGGATATTGCAAAATCCCCATTCCCTCCCCACTCCTGGGGGAAGGATATTGCAAAAACTCCATTCCCACCCCACTCTGGTTCCAGCCAGAGGTGGCATTTGCCCGTTCTCCGAACTACTCAAAATTTCTGCTACTGGTTCTCTAGAACCTGTCAGAATCTGCTGGATTTCCCCCCTGGGCAATATGCTGACTATGTAAACCGCTTAGAGACGGCTGTAAAGCACTATGAAGCAGTATATAAGTCTAAGTGCTATTGCTATTAATTCCTTCTATATTCCAATTCATTTTTCCAAATGTAGCCCATTGTTTTCTCCACCCCCTGCAGCCACCTGAGACTAAATTTAGGAGACAGAGAAGGTGTATGCCGAACCTCAACCCCAAATGAGCCACTGTAGGGGGTAACATTTTTTTTTTAAAGGGCTCTATTCTGGGCCACACGACTAGGAAAATTGGTATACTGCTTCTCTCCTAGGAATACATTGGGGAATTCTTTTAATGGATGTCTTCTCCACAGCCATTGGCTGCGCCTGCCCTATTTTCAGACTCGTTCTTTCTTTTGCCACATTCTCTCACACCAAATTTGGTTTCCAGTTCTTCTTTTTGGAAAGTTATTATGGAGGGCAGGGGTGAAATGCTCCCGGTTCGGACCGGATCGCCTGATCCGGTAGCGATGGAGGCGGGTGGTTCGGAAAACCGGTAGCAAAAATCCCTGCCCTCCCCCCCCCCAATGCCTAGAGCTGCACAATCATCAGAGGCTTTTTTAAAAAAAACTTTTAAAAGCATTTTTTCTACAACCTCTTCGGCTTTTAAAAGTAAAAAAAAAGCCTTTGATGATTGCGTGGCTCAGCTGGGATTATCAAAGGCTTTTAAAAGCATTTTTTCTACAACCTCTGAAGAGGTTGTAGAAAAAATGCTTTCAAAAGGCTCTGACGATCCCAGCTGAATTGCCTGATCTGCAGAGGCTTTTTTTCTTTTAAATGCCTCTGAAGATCAGGCAACTCATCTTAGATCGTCAGAGGCTTTTAAAAGAAAAAAAGCCTCTGCTGATCAGGCAATTCAGCTAGGATCGTCAGAACCTTTTGAAAGCATTTTTTTACAACTTCTTCGCCGAAGATGTTGTAGAAAAAATGGTTTTAAAAGTAAAAATAAATTGGCCACGCCCACCCAGTCACATTACCACCACCACCACCACCACCAAGCCATGCCCTTAGAACCGATAGTAACAAATTTTAGATTTCACCACTGATGGAGGGTAAGAAAGATGACTTTGTCAGAGATGGGCCAGATTCATTACCAAAGTGATAAAGGGAAAACCTTTATCTCGTTTTAAGTCCAAAACAAATAGAAAGCATGCATAAATAGCTCAGACAGACACCTCCCTAATTCACATGTGTATAAGAGGGGGTCGGGGGGTGGAATACAGCACAATAAGACTGACAAGATTCAGTCATTAAAACCACTTCCAATAAAAGTAGACTTCCTATATCGTTGGCTCTTTGATGTAGCCATCTTGTCTTTATGACCTCCCTCCCTTTCAGATATCCCTGAGTGTGAGGATCTCCCCTGAAGAACGCTAGTTTTACAACGACTATCAACGATTTATCCAGAGTTGTGTTTCTGTTCTCCAGCATTCTGTGCTATTTACAAAGCAGTTTAGTAAAGAGTTGACAGGAACAGTCACCAGAGTATGGAATTCAATCTGCTTTATGTACCGGTAGCTGAAATTTAGGATTGTTCTTAATCATGAGAACTATGGAATTATTGGGAAGGACCTGAAACTTTTGTGCAGGAATAATTCGGGTTTCTTACCTTTTCTTGCAGGCGAAAACAAAAGGCATTGAAAGTGGGATGGATATCGGAGTGAAATATTCGGAGAAACAGGAGAGAGCCTTTAATGATGAAAAACTCAAGGCTGGACACTGTGTCATTGGTCTACAGGTAAGTTTGGTGACTTTGTGGCTCTTGATCTTGAAACCATGGGAGATCTAAGAGGGTGCAGCACATGGCCAAAAGACTAAGCTGTGCAATCAGGAAATCCTGGTTTTGGGAACTTCTTCTATGGTAAAAATGCTTTCTTTGTCAATTTTTTCCCATTGTTTAGTAAGGCTGTGAAGCACCTCAGTTTTGAAGGCAAAACAGTCCTTTGAAGAGCATGCGAAATGTAGCGCCCATTTGCAATTCCTTAAAACCAAGTGCATCCTTGTTTATTTAATACTACCCTGTTTCCCCGAAAATAGGACCCAACAAGAAAATATGTCCTAGCATGATTTTTCAGGATGCTCATAATATAAGCCCTAACCCCCCCCCCCCAATAAGCCCCAGTTAAGATTGTCAGCTAGATGGGTGTATTTAGTACCGTATTTCCCCCAAAATAAAACCTAACCAGAAAATAAGCCGTAATGCATCTTTTGGAGCAAAAATTAATATAAGACCCAGTCTTATTTTCGGGGAAACATAGTATACATGTCCAAAGATTTGCTGAGCACTAATGAAGAAGAAGGAACAGGTTGTAGAAGAAGAGAAACAGTTTTAGCAACTTGAAAAACTGGTCATAGATGTCCATTCCTAAGCTAGATGACACCAGAATGAAGAAACGTGTCATGGCATCATTGCACAAGCTCTGCTCTTTCACACGCAAGAATATAAGGGGCAGAAGAGTTTGCAGGATGATGCACATTTCAACCCTTGTCTTCCTCATGTAGACATCTATGAGCCAAGTGGATCATAGACATCCTGACATCTACTGTAGATGTAGTATATCAGGCATAGTAAGCTGTGTTGCCAAAAAAAGCCAACACAGTTCTAGGCTGCATTAACAGAGGGATAGAATCAAGATCACGTGAAGTGTTAATACGACTTTATAATGCCTTGGTAAGGCCACACTTGGAATACTGCATCCAGTTTTGGTTGCTATGATGTAAAAAGAGACTCTAGGACAGGGGTGTCAAATTCATGTCGTCACGGTGGCATCACATGACATATCAGAACTTTTTTCTCCTTTGCTAAACTGGGCATGGGCGTGGCCAGCGTGTGACGCATCCAGCCTGAGGTCTGGGAGTTTGACAGCCCTGCTTTAGAAAGAGTGCAGAGAAGAGAAACAAAGATGATTAGGGGTCTGGAGGCTAAAATATATAAAGAATGGTTGGTGGAATTGGATATGTCTAGTTTAATGAAGAGAAGGACTAGGGGAGACATGATAGCAGTGTTCCAGTATCTCAGAGGCTGCCACAAAGAAGAGGGAGTCAAACTATTCTTCAAAGCACCTGAGGGTAGAACAAGAAGCAATGGGTGGAAACTAATCAAGGAGACAAGCAACCTGGAACCGATGAGAAATTTCCTGACAGTTAGAACAATTAATCAGTGGAACAACTTGCCTGCAGAAGTTGTGAATGCTCCAACACTGGAACTTTTTAAGAAGAGATTGGACAACCATTTTTCTGAAATGATATAGGGATTGCTGCCTGAGTAGAGGGTTGGACTAGAAGACCTCCAAGGTCCCATCCAACTCTGTTATTCTGTTAAGGCTTAATCAAGCTGCTATTTCTCTTCAGATGGGCACCAACAAGTGCGCTAGCCAGTCAGGAATGACCGCCTATGGAACCAGGAGGCATCTCTATGATCCCAAGAACCAGATACTACCTCCAATGGACCATTCCACCATCAGTTTGCAGATGGGTACCAATAAGTGTGCTAGCCAGGTAAGAACTCTTACAAAGTGTTTAAATCTTTGTTTAAATTTTTTGTTTTGCTTTAGCTTTTTAAAACTCTTATAGTTTCAGTCTTCCAAGCCAAAAGAGGTTTTCTCCAAGATATACTGGTTTATTTACAGGATCCATGCTTACCGCAGAGATACAGCATCAGTAAATTACCCCCTTTTGGTAATCCTCGACAAGAATATCTCAGCTTGGTCATTTCATGCAATAGGCCATGATTTAATTATGGTTTGTTGGATGAGCCAGTCAGGTAAACTCACACATTTGCAATGAGTCCTAATCCAAGGTTTAGAGACCATGTTTTGGCTTGGTTCAATATACAAACCCAATGTTTCTTTTTCAAATTAGCAAACTGTTTACAATTTATTGGGTCAATTCTTCGTTTTTTTCATTTCTGCTGACACTAACTAGGACAATTGGGGAAGACATGAAAACCTGCCAGAAGTAAGCATGGTATCTGACTCCAGACATCAATCAGGCAAGAATTTATAGACTAATCAGCCATGTTTCCAATCACTAATGACAAACCACAATCTTTTCCCTCAGATAGTTCACTTGTAAGCCAAAAGCGAGCCATATTATGGCTTTGCACTACAGATAAGACAGCCATTTCTGTTCCAAATAAAATACAATCCAGGTTTCTATCCTCTTGATGAAAGATCTCCCATAGCTGTGACATATTTTTTGTGTCAACCATTACAATTAGCTATATTAGATAATTGTATTATCTAATACAATTAGATAATAATTGTATCTAATTATTATCTAATAATCTAAAAGATTATTATCTTTTATTTAATTGATTTAAATTTTACCTTTATTGTGATAAACATTCATTAATTTCATTAATCCATCCGATTGATTGATTGATTGATTGATCGATCAATCAATCCATTCATTCATTCATTCATTCATTCATTCATTCATTCATGGTTTGGAAGTATTACTGCTTTGGACTGGAAGGCTGTGCAGAGAGTGGTGAGGATGGTGGAAAAGATTACTGGAAATTCACTTCCTTCTATCCAGGACATAGCATATAAGCGTTACTTCACCAGGATCTGCGGTACTGTCTGGGACTTTACACATCCCCTCCCTGACCACTTTTCCTTGTTGCCTTCTGGGAGGAGGCTTTGTGGTATCCGAACGACTCAACAGAAACACTCAGAAGGGACGACTCTTACCCTGGTCAGCACTTCTTTACCCTCCTACCATCGGGAAGGAGATATAGAAGTATAGCCAGCCGCGCAAACAGGCTGAAGAACAGTTTTTATCCATGGGCTGTCAGACTCCTGAATGAGAAATAACATCATAACTAAGTAGTATGATGGACTGCAGGGCCGGCACAATGTGTAACATGTTCACACTGGTACAATAGGACTGGGTGTTTTGTTAATATGATTTATTGAGCCTTGGTAGTACAGTGGTCTAAAGCACCCTGTTATTAAGTCCAGCTGCCTGCAATTACTGCAGGTTCGACTCTCACCAGGCTCAAGGTTGACTCAGCCTTCCATCCTTTCTAAGGTAGGTAAATTGAGGACCCAGTTGTGGGAGCAATAAGCTGACTTTTTATAAATATACAAAAGGATGAAGGCTATTGTTTAGTGCATTGTAAGCCGCCCTGAGTCTCCGGAGAAGGGCGGCATATAAATCAAATTAAAAAAAAAAAAAATTGGGTTAGAGATTTATTGTCTTCACTGTGAGTTGTATTGTGTTGGGGGTGTGCACTGAGGGAGCTCAACCAATCTCGTACATATGTTGTGCACTGACAATAAAGATTTGAATTTGAATAATTAGTTTCTGTAATAGCTTTATACCATATATCAGGGGTCTCCAACCTTGGCAACTTTAAGACTTGTGGACTTCAACTTCCAGAATTCTGGGAGTTGAAGTCCACAAATCTTAAAGTTGCTAACGTTGGAGACCCCTGCCATATAGTATCTATCTTGTTAACTCTCAAGGCTCTTTTTACCGCTATGTACTCAAAATGGACTGTGATTAAAATTTACATACATAGATTTTGGTATAACGTGACATTTTTGGATTCTGCTGCTATTATATTATTATACTATAGTTATCCGTGGGATGGTGACATTGTTTGGTGGGGGGCGTTCCTTCTTTTGAGAGTGGTGCATCGGAATTTCATTTCAATGTGTGCCATGAACCACGGTGGCGCAGTGGTTAGAGTGCAGTACTGCAGGGTACTTCTGCTGACTACCGGCTGCCTGCAATTTGGCAGTTCAAATCTCACCAGGCTGAAGGTTGACTCAGCCTTCCATCCTTCCGTGGTGGGTAAAATGAGGACCCAAATTGTTGGGGGAAATACGCTGACTCTGTAAATCGCTTAGAGAGGGCTGTAAAAGAACTGTAAAGCAGTATATAAATCTTAAGTGCTATTGCTATTGCAAATATAGGAAAACAACAATAAACATTATCTATTTTCTCTTCCCATTCAGGTGGGCATGACGGCTCCAGGAACCCGCCGGCACATCTATGATTCCAAGCTGGGCACAGACAAATGCGATGACAGCTCCATGTCCCTCCAAATGGGCTCTAACCAGGGTGCCAACCAGAGCGGGCAGGTGTTCGGTTTGGGCCGCCAAATCTACGACCCCAAGTATTGCCCCCAAGGCAACGCTGGGGTGGCGAGCAACGCAGCCCCCATTGAGGATCAGAACTCAGCCAACTATTATTATTATCAGGAGGACCAGTGAACTGGATGTATTCTTTCCCTTGCCCTGTTTTCTGTTCTTTTCCCAAACCATCGCTGGGCAATTCCTGGCAAAGTCCAGCAATTCTGCAATGTATGTATTTTTAATTTTTTTCAAAAGAAAAAAAAAAGAGTTGTCCAAGCTGCATTTCCCTTCTACCCCTCAAGGATAGGAACACACAAAAGTGTTTATCCTTTTTTTTTTTTTTTTTAGAAAGAGAGTAAAGCTGATCTTTAATGTTACAAGGGTTAGACAAAGAACGTGCGAACTTTCCCTGATGCCCAAACTTACCTCTAGAAACTGGAAAGAATAAAGATTGCTGTATTGATTTCACACTTCCAAAAAAAAAAAAATCCACACTATCCTGAACGATTTATTTAAATTATACGTGTGCAGATGAAGAGGGTTGCCAAATTGAACCTGGTATATCCAGAAAAAGGAAGCCATTTCCAAAACCTGAAAATCATATTTTACAACTGTAGTTGGTCGCAATGCCGAGCTAGAATTTTTTTAAAACTATGGTTTGTCGAACAAGCCAGAGATCACGGGAATCTTCCTAATGCTCCTACATCTGGCTTGTATAGCTTGCATTACCCTAGTGAAATTTGGTGGGGTTGGAATTGGTGGGGTTTGTATACCGGTATTCCTCGACTTATGACCATAACTGAGCCCATTTCTGTTGCTAAACGAGATTATTATTTACTGAATTTTGCCCCGTTTCACGACCTTTCTGGCCACCGTTGTTAAGTAAATCACCACAGTTTTTAAGTTAGTAACACAATTGTAAAGTGAATCGGGTTTCTGCGTTGACTTCGCTTGTCAGTAAAAGGTGATCACGTGACCCCGAGACATTGCAACCTTCATAAATATGAACCAATTGCCAAGCGTGCAAATTTTGATCACGCGACCATGGCGATGCCACAGTGGTGATAAGTGTGAAAAACGGGCATAAAACACATTTTTCAGTGCTGCTGTGACTTTGAACAGTCACTAAATGAACCGTTGTAAGTCGAGGACTACCTGTAATGCCCCACCTCACCTGGAGCCTTAGCCTGCTTCTTCCAAATAACATCAGGAGGCGTTGAAGGAAAAATAAAACCACCTTCCCAAAAACCAGATGTTTTCCTCACTTCCCATTCACCTCTGCACAGAATTTTTCCTGTTTTAATTTCCAACCAATCAGAATGGGTTGATACCAGGCTGGATGGACCAATAACAAGAGCTGAGATAAGGTACTTTCATTTCCCCACCTCCATAATAGCAATAGCACTTAGAATTATATACCGCTTCACAGGGCTTTTACAGCCCTCTAAGCCAGGGGTGTCAAACTCAATTTCATTGAGGGCCGCATCAGGGTTGTGTTTGACCCCGGGGGGCTGGGGTGGGTGTGGCCAGTTTGACATCACTCGTGTCGGGGGCGCCTGTGGTGGCCCAAGCGCTCTACCAGTGAAAATGGGCTCCCGATCTCCGTTTCCGGCTGCGACAGCCTCCTGCATCCCTCTGCCAGAAAAAATGGAGCTCTGGAGGGTCCTCCTGAGCTCCGTTTTTGCCGGCAGAGGTACCACGGGCTGGTCCTTCGCTATTCCCAGGGCAGCCCCACGGGCCAGATGCAGCCCGCAGGCCGTGAGTTTGACACCCCTGCCCTAAGCGGTTTACAGAGTCAGCATATTGGCCCCATCAATCTTGGTCTTCCGGAAATAGGTGGAAAGTTTATTCTTTCTTCCAAGTGCTCAAGGGGAATTACTCTGATGCCCTTTATGTATTTTAGGTGACCAGCTCTAGGCTACATAAATCCAGACTTAAGGGTGAAATCCAGCAGGTTCTGGCGGAAATTTTGAGTAGTTCGGAGAACCGGCAAATACCACCTCTGGCTGGCCCCAGAGTGGGGTGGGAATGGAAATTTTGCAATATCCTTCCCCCAGGAATGGGGAGGGAATGGAGATTTTGCAGTATCCATCCCCTGCCACGCCCACCATGCCACGCCCACAGAACCGGTAGTAAAAAAAATTGGATTTCACCACTGATCCAGACAACAGCTTAGAGGGCAGCACATACATGCTGGAAACTTAATTTTTGCTGCGATCCAACTGCTTTCTGGATTTGCAGCCCTGCAGTTTGATTGCAAAGGTAAATTTGAGACCTTCGTGGCCATAACAGAATCATGTAATGGATATTGATAGGCTTTTAATTCAACCGCCGAAATCTTCTTTGATAAACATTTCTATGCTATTAAAGAGAAATGGATTTGCTACCTTCACCAGCTTGATCACTATTGGGGATATGAAACCCCTCAGTTCTCAGCCAGCTCAACTGAAAAATCCTGTGCTACTTGGGAAATCCATAAATTGCAGCCTAATAATCTAGACTGGAGGGAAATGGCGTGAAAGGTATAAAACTGGAATATTCTTTTGGGGGGGAGGATTGATAATTTGCCCAACAGAGTAGAAGCTTCATTACCTTTAAAGGTGTCCAATCTTGGCCACTTTAAGATTCATGGACTTCAACTCCCAGAATTCCCCAGTCTGCATGAGGAATTCCATGACTGGGGAATTCTGGGAGTTGAAGTCCACAAGTCTTAAAATGGCCAAGGTTGGATAACCCTGATTACCTTAAACTAGTTTAGTGAGCAAACTAATGCTTTTCTTTCCAGAATATTTCCATAATTCTGTCTAGACCCTTGGCATGTTTTCATTGTCACCTTCATTCCCTCCCTCTTTGGAATCTGTATCAGATTTTTAATCCAAGGTGATGAAGTGTAGAAAGTAGATGCTAGTTAGGATCATCTTTTTTTTTACTTATGGCACTTAAGTTTCAAAGAATTTTGTGATTTAATTCACCGTTTCTCAACCGTGGCAACTTTAAGATGTCTGGACTTCAACTCCCAGAATTCCCCAGCCAGCCAAGTTGCTAAACTGGCTGTGGAATTCTGGGAGTTGAAGTCCAGACATCTTAAAGTTGCTAAACTGGCTGTGGAATTCTGGGAGTTGAAGTCCAGACATCTTAAAGTTGCTATGCTTGAGAAACATTGGTTTAATTCATCCTTGATCTACTGTTACAAAAAGGAGTTTGAACCCAGATGAAACCTCTCTCCATTGTCTGATATTCAGTTATATCGAATCTGTTCGCCTTTCTGCAAGTAAATGATTGACCACTTTTTCAGAAGCTAGCTACTTGTTGATATCACAGGGGTGATGCTGGATTTGAATTTTTTTTACTGTTTTTTATACTGGAAAACTAACAATGTGTAGAAGTCGGTCTTCATCATTTTTAAGATTTGATTCTGCAAGGGTCACTGATACTCAAGCTACATCCATAGGGATGTAGAGATTTCATGTTGCAAGAATGGGGGTATCTAACCTGTAGAGGTCTAGGAGCTTGAAAAAAAGCCTTCAGAAGTCAAATCCTATTTTTCTCCTCTGGCCCCTCCTCAGTTTGATAGGACTTAATATTCCTTTTTTGTTTTCCTGCTGCTATACAACGGATCAAGGGACCATGACCAAAATAAAGCTTTTAAGTCTAGGTACCTGCATACTACATAAAGGTCTTAGGGACTAGATACTTAGGGACTAATATATTTAAACATCATTGCTTTTTCAGACATTGGATAGTTGCCTTAATTTTTTTATATGCTGGGGAAAAAAAGAAATCATGATTTCTTTGCCATGCTGGCTTTCTTAGCAGAAATGAATGTTTCATTACCGTATTAGGTAACATGCTGCCTAGCATGGATGATGTTACCTAGTAGGGTAATGAAACCTCTGCAAAAAACCCCACCAAGCTCAGAGAGCACCAAGGACCCCACAGTTCAACCCTGAGCTACAAATACTATTGCTTTCCAGCTGATGTGTCGGTCAAGAAGTAGAGATAGCTCTAATTTGCACACCCTTGTATTAGAAAATTTAGACTTTCAGGATGCCACAAAGCTTTTGACTGTGGACAATGTTTCTGTATGAATCGTCTCTGGCATTTTGACTTGCCCAGGGGTGCATTTTGTGAATGAAGGTATTTAAATCTCTTAAAAGCCTGTATTTTTAACCCAGCTTCCCTCTATTTTAATAATCAATGTTCTTTCTTTTAAATAAAAAAAACTGGATCTGCTCTTCTGTAACGACATAGATTGAGCTACAGTACAAACATTTCTCTGGCAGAGAAGCCGACGCAGAACGCATGCTGTCTTATCTTAGAAATAGTGGTAGGACTGATGGACAAAATGTGAACCTGCAATATTTGAATTTAAATAAAAGGGCTTCAAAAGCAAAAACACGTGTACATTTGTGGGGGTTTGTTTTCCTGTGGGATCCAAAATTAAGCAAACCAACAGAAAGGTATGCAGGGATTTATTTTTAAGAAATAAAGTTGTTTGTTGTAGGTATACGAAGTCCCATCTCTTTTCACCTGTGCCATAAAAAAGGAGGCACAGTTTGCGTTGTGTAGTTGCAGTTGCCAATGTGATTTTTTTTTTTTGACAGCTCCCACAAACAGCAGAGAGGTTCAGGGGTGAAATGCTCCAAGTTCGGACCAGATCTCTGGATCTGGTAGCAATGGCGGCGGGTGGTTCGGAGAACCGGTAGCAAAAATCCCTCCGCCCCCCCCCATGCCCAGCTGAGCTGTGCGATCATCAGAGGCTGGTTTTTTTTACTTTTAAAAGCATTTTTTCTACAACCTCTTCAGCCGAAAAAATGCTTTTAAAAGAAAAAAAAAGCCTCTGATGATCGTGCGGCTCAGCTGGGATCGCCAGAGGCTTTTAAAAACATTTTTTCTGCAACCTCTTCGGCCAAAGGGTTGTAGAGGGTTGTAGAGAAAAAATGCTTTTAAAAGCCTCTGACGATCCCAGCTGAGTTGCCTGATCGTCAGAGGCTTCTAAAAGCATTTTTTTCTGCAACCTGAAATCAAATAAAATAAATAAACCTCTTCGGCTAAAGAGGTTGTAGAAAAAATGCTTTTAAAAGTAAAAAAAAAAAAAGTTGGCCACGCCCACCCAGTCACATTACCCCACCACCAAGCACGCCCACTAGTAACAAATTTTAGATTTCACCCCTGGAGAGGTGGTTTTGTATGGGGATGTGAAAAAAGTGCGCCCTATAACATTTCCTTTTGTAATTCAGGCAGTTTCATTCTGTGAGAGCAGAGCAGCTGAGAAAAATCTTGTGTTCATGACAACATGATAAGCAAAACACCAAACATCATATTGACTCAATATGAGTCAAATTATGAAAATCACAAAACACAGCCTTTACCTTTTAAGCTTCAATGAAATTTAAAACCCATGACTGAGCACAAAAGCAGTCCTGGTAGCAATCACAATGCTACACGGGTAATCCTGACTTACGATCACAAGGTGAACTAGAATTTCATTTGCTAAACAAAGATGCTATTAAGTGAATCACACTGGATTTTACAAACTTTTTTGCCACCATTCTTAAGTGAATCATTCAGCTGTTGAGCAAATCCGGCTTCCCCCGCTAACTTTGGTTGTCGGAAGTCACACATGGCAATAGCAATAGCAATTTAGAGACTTATATACCGCTTCATAGTGCTTTACAGTCCTCTCTAAGCGGTTTACAGAATCGGCCTGTTGCCCCCAACAATCTGGGTCCTCGTTTTACTGACTTCAGAAGAATGGAAGGCTGAGTCAACCTTGAGCCGATGAGAATCGAACTGCTGGCAGTCAGCAGAATTACCCTGCAGTACTGCTAACGTCTGCCCCACCACAGCGATCACATAACTCTGGGAATCTACATCTATTGTAATTACATGCCAGTTGCCAAGCACCTGAATTTTCATTACCTGACCATGGGGATGCTGCAGTGACCATAAGTGCAAGAACCAATTGCAAGTCACTTTTTCAGTGTTGTAACTTTGCGCAGTCACTAAACAAATGGTTGCAAGTCAAGGACTGCCTGTTGTATGCCACTTACCATACTTGATTTACTTAACCAGGGCTTATTCAATAATCCATTATGGAGCCTCCACCCAAACCCATCAATCATGGTTTACAACCCTAGCAGCTAAATTCCCAAAGCTTCTGAAGCCAAAAAAACCTGAACTGCATGATGTTTTGGACTGTCTTTCCTTCCGATGTTGCCGAACTACAGTTCTTGCTGTTTTATCTTGAGGAGCTTGGCAAGCTACAGCTGCCTGTTCCCTGCTTAAAAGTAGGGCAAGGCTTCGGGCAAGGCTCCAGCTTAATTATGCCAGCAACTCCACCCTTTCAAATTTTAACAGGAGAAGCATCTGTCTCATAATTTGCAGCCGAGAAAGCAGGTATTGGAAGCTGTTCACCTGGGAGTGTTTTTCAGCAGCTCTATATTGAAGCAGCAGAGAGATTCTGGTTAACAACTGGGGGTTACTCCTGCTACATTTGTCTAACATGCTGGGCTAAATGATGGTTTGCTTGTTCGTGGCACTCTGCTTGATAAGCTTCACCATGCTAACAGCACAATTTCTTAGCTTTCAACAGCACAAAACCATAAATTAATCACCCAGGCTGGGTTTCCAGAACACCCTGGGCTAAAGTATGCTTGGGAAGTTTCTGTGTTATGCAAAGGCAGTGTTGTGTTGCATGAGCTCAGCCAAGTTGATTAATTCAGTAGACTTGTAACAATGCTTGTAAACTTTAGTTGCTGGATTGTGTTCACAAATTCAGCCAAGTGTCAGGCTTCGATGCTATCTCAAAATAAATGAATTTCAATTCATTTGAATTGAATTCATTTCAATTCAATGAATCGGTCAAGCTAACTGAGGAGGGTTCCCTTGGGTACTCTGGCATGGGGACAAAATCCATACCGCTCACTATCTTAAATGGGGTTAGTCCTGTGCTACTGTGGACAGCATTGTTATATGCGACCTCCGCAAAGGATAGGAGGTCCGCCCAGTTCGATTGTTGGTAATCAATGTAGCACCTCAGGTACCGCTCTATCATGGCATTTAATCTCTCCGCCCCCCCATTGGTGCTCGGGTGAAATGCTGAGCTGAGGCCTTGGGATGATCCTATGGATCGGAGGAATTCCCTCCAGAATTTCGCTGTAAACTGGACACCTCGATCGGAGATGATTCTTCTGGGTACTCCGTGTAGGCGGTAGATGTGTTTCACGAACAGTTTGGTCAACTGGCGGGCTGAGGGTAGTCCCAGTGCGTCCCAACACTGACACCAAGTACATTTGAGTTTACTGAACGGACTCGGCCTTGGTGGTGGTTTATGGTCCAATGTGTTGTGCAAATCACACATCTGATTCAATCTATGAAAATAGACTGAGTCAGCCTTATCTCATGGAAAACAATGTGTTTATAAAACTGCAGGTTAGAAGGGACTTTGCAGATCATCCTTGCACTGTGCAGGAAATTTGTGTTGTATAAACACAGTCTTAATCCAGTGCGGAACAGTCTACTGGTATTTAGGGAGGTCTAGGGTTGCCAACTTTGCAAAGTAGTCCAGACAAGAAGCACACCCAGAATTACTAGCACTCTTTATTGGTACATTGATAATTAATGCACATTCTGTACATTAACATAATCTAGCAAACCTGTAAGTACATCTCTTCCCCCCTCACTTTTATAGTCCAAGAAACCAGGGAGGGTCTCTCATGAGATGTTTGCCATACCCTCATTCCTTTTGGGGACTCAGCCTTCATTTATCAGACTATTGTGCAATCTACAAGACTTCCATCAATCTCCTAAAATCATTTTCCACATACCATTACAGGTAATCCTCAATTTACAACCACAATTGAGCCCAACATTTCTGTTGTTAAGCGAGACCTTTGTTAAGCGAGTTTTGCCCCAGTTTACGACCTTTCTTGCCACTGTTGCTAAATGAATCATTACAATTGTTAAGTTAGTAATATGGTTGTTAAATGAAACTGGTTTGCCCATTGATTTCGCTTGCCACAAGGTTGCAAATGGGTGATCTCATGACCCCAGGACACTGCAACAGCCATCATAAATATCAGTCAGTTGGCAAGCATCTGAATTTTGAATGAAGTTTGTACAAAACTTAAATTTACTCAGTCTTTTCCAAACAAAGGCTCTTAATAAACTTCCTTAACAGCCTACAAGAAAACAAAGATAAAGTAATCACAATCTTACTAAGGTTGGCAGAAAGCCCAGAAACAATTTGCAGAGATACAGACATGAAGGAGAATGAATTAAAGATGCTCCCTACAACTTGCTTCAGTCGGCGTTCCTCCTTAAATAGGCTAAGGGAGTGGCCAATTAGCCCCAAGCCTTACTCTCGAGGAGACTTCCTCCTGAGGAGCCACTCCTGCTTTTTGGCAGCTCTCCGTGCCCGTGCATTGAGAAGAGGCTCCTCCTCTTCGTCCGCTTCACTTAAAGGAGCTTCTGGAGGTTCTGAAGGCCCAGGCTGAATCCCCGCCTCTGGCACCACATCTTCTCCAGCCTCCTCATTGTCTGACTTGGGTGCCAGCTGCATAAGCTGCTGGCGCAACACTACACCAGCCTCCTCACTGTCAGAATCAGCTACAATCCGCACAGGCCGCTGACGGGCCACAACAGTGTTCCCTGTCTCTGTAGGTTTTTAAAAAGAAGCTGGACCGTCATCTGTTATGGGTGGCTTAAATGACTTTCCTGCATATTGCAGAGGGTTGGATTAGTGTTTCTCAACTTTGACAAGTTGTGTAGACCAACTCCCAGAATTCCCAGCTTGCTGGCAGAGGAATTGTGGGAGTTGAAATCCGCACATCTTAAGTTGACAAGGTTCAGAAATACTGTTCTACATTATCACCTGACTCTTCCAGCTCTTCAGCTCTTAAAACAGGGGTGTCAAACTCTGTGGGTTGCGGGCCAGATGTGTCATGTGCTGGCCACCTCCACCCCCAATTTAGCAAAGGGGGAAACGTTGTGATATGTCACGTGACGCCATGAGTTTGACACCTCTGTCTTAAAACATCTATTTTTGAGAGAAAAAATACTGAGTACAGATGTTATTGTATTAAAGTAATGTGTTGTTAGAATCCAGACATTGCTGATAAGCCATGGCTTATTACTTTCCATATTAAGCAAACCCAATCAGCAATCATGGGTGATAAACTAGAATTAAACAAACCATTGTTTAATAGTATGGGTGAATACCCTCAAAAAGAAGGACATACTTGAGCTTATTACAAATGTTTTACCTAGCTCTTTACCTCAAAAATCTTTCAGAAGAAAGTTTTCCATTACCATTTGTTGTTTACAACTCCTCTCAGAGATAAAAAGACTTTGGCCACTCTCTGCTTTTGAGACTTGGTGATAATGCAAATTAAA